AAAAAAAAAAAAAAAAAAAAGTCTGCTTGCCACATAATAATCAAAATACCAAACATACAGAATAAATATTAAGAGCAGCAAAGAAAAAGGTCAAGTAACACATAAAGGCAAACCTATCAGATTAACACCTGACTTTTCCATGGAAACTCTGAAAGCCAGAAGGTCCTGGATAGATATTCTACCTACACTAAGAGACCACGGATGCCAGCCCAGACTACTATACCCAGCAAAGCTTTCAATCAATATAGATGGAGAAAATAAGATATTCCATGACAAAACCAGATTCAAATAATATGTATCCACCAATCCAGCCCTACAGAAAGTTCTGGAAGGAAAACTGCAACCCAGGGAAGTTAACTGCAACCAGAAAACTATAGGCATAGATAATTCCACTTTACCAACAGCCAAAAGGAAAAAGGGATAGAATCCCACACATAATTTCGCCACCATCACCAAATCAAAAAAACAAACAAGAATGAAAAACAGCCATCAATATCCCTCAACATTAATTTTCTTAACTCACCTATAAAAAGACACAGATTAGCAGAATGGATAAGAAGACAGGATCCATCCTTCTGCTGCATACAAGAAACACACCTCAACTTCAAAGACAGACAGTGCCTAAGAATTAATGCTTCAATTGCTTAAAGACACTGGCCCCACTCGCTTCTTTCTTTTGTTTGCAGTGGGAGGTTGTCCCATGATGCACAGGTAGCACTCAGAACGATTTGTGGGAGTCAGTTCCCGTTTCCACATGGGTTCCTGGGATCAAGATTGGGTTGTAGGGCTCACCAACAAGCATCTTCACTCACGAGCTTTCTTGACATCCTAGTATGCTTTCATTCTTAAGAAAATGCCTGTCACCAGGCATAGTGGCACATACCTTTAACCCTAGAACTCAGGAGGTAGAGCCAGGAGGCTCTCTGAGTTCTAGGCCAGCCTGGTCTACAGAGCGAGTTCCAGGACAGTCAGGACTACACAAAGAAATCCTGTATCAAAAAAAAAAAACTAAAACCAAAAAACCAAAAACCTGTCAATTCTTTTCAGCTTTAGTCCTTGTTCTTGTTTTTAAATGCTCCTTAGTAGATTATGCAAATGAAAAGGGTGAAACAATTGAAATTCCTCCTGTTCAAAGGGACCTGGTACACATTCAGGAAACAGGCAGAAATGAACCTTTGAGTAACATTAAGCCTAGTTTTATTGTTATGAACATTTTTTTTACATTTATTTTGTGTGCGCCTATCTGGGGTGCAGGGAGGCTCACATATTGATACCGGCCTCTGCTGCTGTGATAATGCCACTATGAATATGTGTTTACTCAAGTGTCTCTTGAAAACCTTGTTTTCATTTGTTTTGCGTATAGAACCGGAAGTAGAAATAGTAGATCACATGGAAATTGTTTAATGGTTCTCTCTCTCTCTCTCTCTCTCTCTCTCTCTCTCTCTCTCTCTCTCTCTCTGTGTGTGTGTGTGTGTGTATGTAGGACAGAGCTGTTAGTATTTGTGCATGGATTCTGCTTGTTAATAAACAATAGAGAAATATTTTATCACAACTTTTATGTTGTGACATAAGAGTGCACTAGAAAATGATGAGACAATTGTAGCTACCACCTTGCCCAGATCTATCTGAAATTGTTTAAATTTTTGTTAGGTCTGCTTATAATGCCTTGGTCTTAATAGGAGTAACACCTGTGATTGCTTTTAATTTCGTTGCATCCCTAGCACGTTTTTGTGTAATTCTTTCACATTCTGTGACACTTCAGTATGTTGCTGTGTCAAAGAGGAAAAGAGCAACTGCATTGATGTTAAGTTCTGCGCTGGGATTTTGTCAAGTCTGTACAATTTTTAAGAGGCCATGCGTAAAGGCAAGTCGAGGAACTTTTATTTTTAAAAGTACATGTGTGCATGTCTGAGTGGATGTGCCATGGCACACACACAGAGGCCTGAAAACAACTCTGTGTTCTCAGCCCTCCCCATCCACCTTTACGTGGGTCTGGGGACCGAACTCCATCCTGGGACACCGAGCCATCTAGCTGCCTCTTTTGAGAAGCTGTTACATAACTTCTTAAAGAACCTTGAAATCGGCAGGAGCTGCACGGTGCTTGTAACACATTTTTGATGGCGTGGCTTATCCCTCCTGCTAATAGTGAAAAATACTGCTGCTAATGACCTCCTGCTAATAGTGAAAAATACTGCTGCTAATGACAAGCCGCTCGAATGAAGACTGTCACCGACTAATACTGCTGCTAATGACAAGCCGCTCGAATGAAGACTGTAACCGACCAACTTTCCTCTCTGTAGACTGCTTTTAATGCTTGGGTTGAAAATATTCAGCCCTTCCCCACCTCAAAAAAAATTTGCACTTAGGCGGTGGTGGGGCATACCTTTAATCCCAGCACTTGAAAGCCAAAGGCAGGTGGATCTTTGTGAGTTCGAGGCCAGCCTAGTTCCAGAACAGCCAGAACTACACAGAGAAACCCTGTCTCAAAAAATAAACCAAAAAAAAAAAAAAATTCAGTTCATTTCCACTTGTGATTTCATTTTATTTCCTCAAATAAAGAATACTGATAGTGTCTCATCTAAGGCTGGTAAGGTTATCATAGAAGCGGTATGAGAATAGCCGTGCTTCTGTCTGTCACCAGTTTACCCAGCTAGCACTAAAGCCAAAATTAAATCTACTCAGATGGCACCTAGGAAGTTTGAGCATTCTGTTGTGTGAAGCTTTCTTTATTCCTGACTTACTTTGTTTATTTGTAGGTCTCTCTGCAGCCCTTACTGGCCTGGAACTGGATGTATAGACAAAGTTTGTCCTGAACTCATAGCCAAGTGCCCTCGTCTCTCCAGTGTTGGGAATAAGGTGTGTGCCACCATGCCTGGCCTGACTAATTTTTTAACTGAACTTAAGCTTTCATCTTGCCAAGCTCAGAACCCAAAGGATTTTTTTTTCTCTTTTTAGGCTAATTTAGTTTTTATTATGCTTATTTTGTATTACAACATAAAATTCAGCCTTAAGGATTACTTTGCTATTTGCTGACTATTTATTTATAAATTTTTTTTTTTTGAGACAGTGTTTCTCTGTAGCTTTGGAGCCTGTCCTAGAACTTGATCTGTAGACCAGGCTGGCCTCCAGTTCACAGAGATCCCCCTGCCTCTGCCTCCCGAGTGCTGGGATAATAAATGTGAGCACTGCCATCACCCAGCAACTTTAATCTTGAAATATGCAAATACTAAAATAAAAAAGCATTGCATTTAATACTACTTTTTATTAAATTTACTTCTGATGAATAAGTCAGAGGAAAACCCTGTATAGAAATTGTGCATTTACTGACTCCAAGGTTCTATGAACAATCTCCAAACTTCTGTACTATAACACTTTTTTCTGTCATGTGAGACAATTCATTAGACAAAGCCGGGGGTGATGGCAAACTTTTTAATGTTGTTCAAACTGTGACAGCTCCAATTCTAAAGGGGTTGTCAAATCACCACGTTCAAGTATTTTGGGTCCCAGTATGCCAATGAGGAGAGCTCCGTTTGGAGCTGTGATCAGGATGGCAAGGAAGGCTACGGTCATCACATCCTTTGAGTAAGATTCAAGCTGGGGTGCCATGACCTTTCTTGCTGTTTCTAGAGCCAGAGGACCTAAGACAGCCTGCAGTTAGGGAGGACACAGAGCAAAAGAAAACTGTTACTCAGAGTTAATAATTAACATAAGCGGCTCTGTTATATATAAAAAACACACACAATCAAATTGAGTGATTAAGCCCTGTCTGTTCTGGAACTCAATTTGTAGTCCAGGCTGGTCTTGAACTCATGAGATCCACTTGCCTCTGCCTCCCAAGAGCTGGGATTAAAGGCGTACACCTTTAAATTATTTTTATTTTATATGAATGAGTGTGTGCTTGCGTGTGTGTATGCATATCAGGTGCATGCAAAGCAGCAGAGGCACCCTCAGAGGCTGGAAGAGGGCATTGATCTCTCCCGGAACTCCAGTTGCAGATGGTTGGGAGCTGCAGTGTAGGTACTGGGAAGTGAACCCAGGTCTTCCGTGAGAGCAATGAGCCCTCTTAACCAATGAACTGTGTCTCTAGCCCCATATAATAAATAACCTTTTTACTGAACACAAGACAGTGTGCTAGATGCCAGGGAGAAAAGGATCAGACGGAAAACAGGTTCTAAAGAATCTTAAAGTCTATACGAGGTTTTGAACATAAGAGAACTGACAAAAACATTATTGGTAAGAGATGACGATAGTAACACTGATAATAGTATTTGCACAATTATGTAACATTTGTCATGAAGAAAGTGTCATTCTTAAAGCTTTACATTTATTAACTCATTTACTCCTTTTGGCAAACTTGCCACATGGGAACTACTATTAGAAGATAAAGGATCCCCACTAAACATCTCACATTTAATATCATTTCCTTAGAAAATTCAAACAGCAAGCTGAGCTTACATCTGTGCTCTAAATTCTTTGTTATCCTATCATTTTTTCCACTCTAGTTTTCACCAATATCTCTAAATAAAGGCATGAGAGAATGCTTAGCATCCTTGTTTGCTTTCTACTGCTGTGATAAACATGACGACCAAAAGCAATTTGGCAAGGAAAAGGTTTATTCCATCTTACAGTTATCACCCGTCATGAAGGGCAGTCAGGTCAGGGGAGAACCTGGCTTGCTGACTCACAGTCAGCCACCTCTCTTACGGAACTCTGGCCAACCTGCGTAGAGATGGTACTATTTATTCATGGTCAGTTAAGCCTTCCCACACCAGTTAGCCATCAAGAAAATGCCTGACAAACAAGGCCACACGCCAATCTCTAGAGCTGCAGTCTCTTCTTCCCAGGTGATTCTCAGTTTATGTCAAGATGACAGCTGGGACTGATTCACACTTTGTCAACTTTGACAAATACAACGCTTTAATCCATAATTTTTCCTTCTTGCTTGTCCCCAACATCTCATAATTAACATCATAATATAAGATATAATTTTAAAAGTTCCACAGTCTTCTAAAAAATCAATACTTCAAAGGTCCAGTGTCTCATTAACTCCAATTCCAGGAGATCCAACGTGCTCTTCTGGCCTCTGCAGATACCAGGCACGCATGTGGTGCACATCCATAAATGCAGGCAAAACACTCACACACATAAAATGAAAATAAATACATCTAAAAAAGTTATATATTGGCTTATTCCAAAAGGTAAGAACCAAGCTACAGTTACAGTCAGATCAAAGCAAAACCAAAGTCCATCAGTGTAAATCCATGTTCTATACTTCCAACGTCACAGACTCACTCATGATCTTTTGGATGTAAAGGGCTTGGGTCACCTCACCTCACCTCACCTCACCTCCACAGTTTACACAGCTCTTGCCCAGGAGGCTCAGACTGGCTCCATCTAGAGAGCGCTTCACCCCACAACTGCCACTGGCTTTGGCTGATGTCCCACAGTGCTAGCGTCTCAAATATCCTAGGGACTCTTCTGCAACTGAGGCTACATCTTCACTAATTGCCTCTCCTGGTCTCTTTGGGGACCCAGAACCTGTTACATGATACCAACCCCATTTTCTCTCCAATGACCTCTTCAATCCTGCGTCTTTCATGGTGCAAAACCCAATATCACACAGGAGACTCTCACACTTCACCTAGGTTGGCTGCCAACTTGAGATGCATGCAGTTCTGCACTTGGACCCACCCCCTCCCCCGGCAACCACCACAAATGTATGCTGACTCTGAGGAACTCCTTCCAGAATTCCACCTCAATAATACCAGTCTCTTATCACAGCTCATTCTTCCGTCCCAGCTGACCAGCATCCATTGTCCCAATAAAGCAGAAGATGTTTCACTTCCACAAATTCTTAATTGAAAATATAGCACAGGTACAGTTCTGACAGAATCTTTGAAGGACTCTCAAAATTCCCTCAGAAACTTTAAAACCAGGCCTCCATTGTCTGCATTTCTTTCAGCATCTTTTTTCCCCCCTAGACAGGGTTTCTCTGTAACTTTGAAACCTGTCCTGGAACTCGCTCTGTAGAAAACTTTAAAACCAGGCCTCCATTGTCTGCATTTCTTTCAGCATCTTTTTTTCCCCCTAGACAGGGTTTCTCTGTAACTTTGGAACCTGTCCTGGAACTCGCTCTGTAGACCAGGCTGGCCTTGAACTTACAGAGATCCACCTGAGCTTGGATTAAAGGCATACACCATCATCACGTGGCTCTTTCAGCATTCTTATCCTCCAAGTGCCCAATAGATTTTTCTAACGCAAATTTCCAAACGCTACCACACACCACACTTTGGGAACCAACTGCTGTCATACTTTTCTTCCTGTTGCTGTGACAAACACCTTGACCAAAAGCAACTTGGGGGAGAAAAAGGACTATTTCATCTTACACTTTACTGTCCATCACTGAGAAAAGTAGGAGTTAATGCAGAGTCTATGGAGGGTCCTGCTTACTGACTTGTTTTCTGGCTCATGTCCTTTCTTATAGCACCCAGGCCTACCTGCCTAGGGATGGTACCAGCCACAGTGGGCTAGGCAGTCCTACATCAATTAGCAATTAAGAAAGTGCCTCACACATCACCAAGTGTTAAACCTTTAGAAATATTTTTTTTTTGTGCAAGCCAATGTGCAGTGCACCAGGCATAAATGCAGGGAAAGTAATCAATGGAAAAAAAAAAAAAAAAAGAAAGTGCCTCATAGACATGACCCTATAGACAAGTCAATCTGATCAAGGCCACTCTTAAGTTGAGATTCCTTCTTCCCAGGTGACTCTAGGTTTGTGTCAGGGTTACAGCCGAAGCTGACTGTGATGCTCAGGGGTCACACACACCATTTCAGCAGCAGCAAAGAGAAAGAATGGGGGAGAAATGTTAAATTTAAAATTTGTGTTCTAACTCCTAGGAGGGGCATGTGGTTTCACTTGTACAAGAGATGTTGGCTGGTGGTATAGTTAAGTGGCAGAGCAGTAGCCTACTATGTGCAAGACCTTGAGTTTGTCAAAAAAGAGTATTTACGGCTTTCAGTTCTAGATGTTTGTACAGAATACAACTTAGCTTGGATGCTAGGAAAAGGGGACAAGAAGAAGCAGAGCAAAGCAGCTTGGGCAGTGGGTTCTTTCTTTATACCTGCTTGGTTTTCACTTTTCTTTAGGAAATGATAAATAATAAACCAAAACACAAGTGTATCATTGGAAGGAGGGGAAACAGGCAGACACGCTTTTTTATAGATCTATTATCTCCCCAAACCAGGTTATTATATGACTTGAAGGGAAGCTAAAATAACTATAACACTGTTCATGGAGCACCACTGGATGCCAGAAATTGTGCTGAGAGCTTCACAGGGATTATTTCACTCAACCTCACAACACCACCACTTAGTAGATACATGGTCATCCATCCTTATATAAAAGGAGGAACTCAATGGGCCGAGAGACAAACAAGTAGCTGCCTAAAGGCCTAGGCAAGCAACAACCTGGCCTTAAAGGCTTGTGGTTCTAACCCTAACGGAGAACTCTGTTTCATAGACATGCACAAGCTTCTATTCTGTAAAGCAAAATGGAGGGAAAAAAATCCCAGGAAAGCGAGGTTTTATGCTACCATCAAATGTTAGCAGTTGAACAGTAAGTAGCAATACTTTTTAAAAGGGGGGAAATTATTATAGAATAAGAGGATAAATCTCCAAGTCGTCATTAATTCAATCATTTATGGAGAACATGTTTACCGACATCCTGGCTAGTTTTTCTGTTTATTTTTTATTTTTATTTTTATTTTGTCAGTCTGACACAAGTTAGAGTTATCTGGGAAGAGTAACCTCAATAGATGAAATGTCTCCATCAGGTTGTGTGTAGGCAACTCTGTACAGCATTTTCTTGACTAATGATAGATGCGAGAGTGTCCAGTCTACCGTGGGAGGCGCTGTCCTGGGGCTATGGTCTTGAATGATGTAAGAAAACAAACTGAGCAAGTTTTGGAAAACAAGCCGGTAAGCAAGGTTCTCCACGACTTTTGCTTCAGTTCCGGCTGCCAAGTTCCTGCCTTGAGTTCCTGTGCTGTCTTCCCTTCATGATGGAAGTGAAAGATGAAATAAACACTGTCTCCCATCAGCTGCTTTTGATGATGGCGTTTTATCGCAGCAATAAAAATCTCAACTAAGACAACTTTCTTCCTGCTAGGTGTTGTGTTAAACAGTAGGGGGGGAAATGAAAAAGGAAACAAACAAAATGCCCTCAAAAGACACTATCTCTGTCCTTCCTATATAGTCATAGTCATCTATTATAAAAACAAATATTGAATTAAAATAATACATTTGTATTTGTGTGTGGAGTGAGTGGCAGGGTGAGGAAAGATACACTTACCAAAACCAATGTGTCTTTAAAGGTATACATTTGCCTCTATAGCATTCAGCAATATAAAAATAGTCCCATATTATATGTTCTTATTTTACTTTATATTTTTTTTGAGACTGGGTCTATCTATGTAGCCCTGGCTGACCTAGAATTCTCTATGCCGAACAGGCTGGCTATAAACTCACAGAGATCTGCCTGCTTCTGCATCCCAGGTGCTGGAAAAAGGTATGTTTCACCATGCCTGAGCTCATTTTCATACTTTAGGGAAATAGAAAAAAAAACACTTTCATAAAATTTAGAAATTATTTACCATTTAAAAGTGCTCTTCTAAATTTCAGAGCAACTGCTTTAAAAACAAATCTTTTAAATATTGTGGTGTGTGTGTGTGTGTGTTATACATGTATGTGTGCATGTATGCACGAGTGGTTGTGCCTGTTTGTGCACATGGGGAGGCCAGGTGTCAGCTGTCCTCCTGGGTCACTCTCTACCTTACTCCTGTCATCTCTGCCCTGCTCTCCTCACACACAGTCCTAGGATTTCAGGCACTGAGGCCAACCCTGTTTCATGTAGGTTTTATATAGGTGCTAGGGATCCAAACTCATGTTCCACACTTGCATAGCAAATACTCTTTCCCCTTGGGCATTCTCCCCAGCTCTAGATTTTAAAAAGTAGTTATCAATCAAACATGATTGATGTAAAAGTAAAGTAAATAAGACCACAATTTGTCATTAGAGAAATATTTTTCATTTAGAAGCTTTTTTTGGGGGGGGAATGGGAACCCTTTTCTTTCTTTCTTTTTAAGTTTTATTTACTTATTTGATGCACATTGGTGTTTTTGCCTGTATATACTCTGTGTAAAGGTGTCAGATCCCCTGGAACTGAAGTTACAGACTATTGTGAGCTGCCATGTGGGTGCCGGGAATTGAACCCTGGGTCCTCTGGAATAGCAGCCACTGCTCTTAACCGCTGAGCCATTTCTCTTGAGCCATTTCTCCAGTCCCTCATTTAGAACTTTTAAAACTTGCCAAAACTAAAATTATTATGAATGACTTAGTATGTTCCTACCTGGACTGTAGCTTTGGGGATCCATGCTAAAGCAATAAATACTTTCTCCTTAAAACGAAAGTCAGCAAAAGACATCAATGTAAAAGTGGCTAAAACTCGAACACATAATGCCAAACCCAAGGTAGCAATACACATGCCTATAATACATACAAACAAATGTAAAAAACAAAGCATTTGGGAGGAAGCAATTTTTGCCTAAAGAGATGAATTCTAAAATTTCTGAAAATGTTTTGAGCCGTTTCTTTACTATATCTATTTTTTTTTTCCAGACAGGGTTTCTCTGTGGATTTGGAGGCTGTCCCGAAACTAGCTCTTGTAGACCAGGCTGGTCTCAAACTCACAGAGATCCACCTGCCTCTGTCTCCTGAGTGCTGGGACTAAAGGCGTGTGCCACCACTGCCCGGCTCATTATATCTATTTTTAAGTAAAAATAGTAATTATAAACAGTACAAAGTAAAAGTGAGGTGTTGCTGTTGTGTGTATGCATAAATAGGGGTGTTTTGGGGTGGGTATGCACACTTATGCAGGCCAGGAGTTTATGTTTGATGTCTTACTCAATGGCTTCTTTTTTTTAAAAAATAATTTATTTACTTTTATTTCATTTGCATTGGTATTTTGCCTGCATGTATGTCTGTGTGAGAGTGCCAGATCTTGAAGTCAGAGACATTGTTAACTGTCATGTGGGTGCTGGAATTGAACCTGAGTCCTCTGGAAGAGCAGTCTGCCCAGCCCTCAATGGCTTCTTTTGGAGACAAGGTCTGTGACTGACTTTGGAGCTTACTTATCGGCTATACTGGCAAGCTTCAGAGATCCTCCTGTCTCTGCCTCCCAAGGCTGCTGAGACTGGTTTTTACATGGGTGCCTGGGATCAAATTTAGGTCCTAAGGATTGCATGACTAGCAGATTCCCCGCTGAGCCGTCTCCCTGGCCTTCACGGAGGTTTCTACTAAAGGACTAGATTATGTGACACTGGGAGTACTAAGAAAACAAAGACTGATGGTGTGACATTAAGTTCACAGGAGGTAATATATTTTGAATAGAATTCATTTAATTGTGAACGGCCCTTTTAGGGACATGTTTACAGAGATACAGACAGAAGCATAGAAGGATATCTAATGTTTCTTGTAAGCTATTTCTTTGTGTCACTTGGGTTGTCTTTGACTGCAAATAAAGAAATGCACAGTTAGAGAAAAAGAGAGTAGATGCAATCAGTGTAATTTCTAAAGGTGTTTAAGGGTATTCAGAGATATGGTCTATGCAAAAATAAAGTACTCATAATTTTAAAAAGCTGGATTTTATCTCTTCTGTGCTTTATGTACTCTTACCAATAGTTTTCGATTCAAGAGCTTCAACAGATACTTCTGTTCCAACTAAGCCAAAAAGAAGCGGCTGAAAAACATTCCATGTGTTTGCAACAATTTTTTGGACTCCAACCTATAGGAAAGAGAAATACATTTCAGTTCTGGCATATAAAGGTAACTGCACTTCAGAATTTACACTGCTTATTGTGTACATATATTTGACTGCATTTCAGAATTTTAAAGCCATTTTTAAAATTTAATAAAGTGATGATATTTCATTTTTAGGGGAAAAGTTAAAACTTAATTTATGAAAATTGAGCAATGTCATTTATCCAAACAGAATTTGGTTAAGGAAACACATAAAGCTATACAATAAGCAGTATCATCGCATCACTATTTACAGAAAAGAAAGTCTTTGGAGTCCTCGTAATATTCAGAAGCAGGGATAGAAACACAGCACGTGGGATGAGAACAAACACAGCTCATGCAACTCCTGGTCCATCAGCAGTGAGAGGAAAACCTGCCTAACAGCAATATTGGAACCGAGTCCATGAAATGAATCTACATAGGTCACAAACAAACAGCAAGAAAATATTCTGGTAGTTTCTTAGGCCTGTTTCCTCAGACTCATGTTGACTACTTTCAAGTTGTTTTCTGTGAGACTCCTATTCCGTTGGCAGGAGTATAAGTACTGAAAATCTTTCCAAGTGATAACTTAGAAGTGTCTGTCAAAATAAAGACTATCTTTTAACCCAGAAATCCCATTTCTATGAATCCATTCCTACAGGATACTTGTATATATGAAAAGGCTACATGAAGAAATCTGTTCATTGAAGTAACATTTTTATTTTAAACACAGAAGATATATATATATATGTATATATATATGTATATATATATATAAATATAGTATCGGTTAAAGTGATTAATTTTGGAGAATAGGCAGAATATTTAGGGGGAGTAAGAATACAGGAATCTTTTGCATTCAGTCTGTATGTTTTAATCCTATGAACATGTTTTCTTTTTTTGTACCACTTTTATGCCATCAGTTAAAAAAGTATAAGGGGCAGATAAAATGTCTCAGTGGATAAAGGTGCCTGTCACAAAGCTGGACAACCTGAATCCTAGTACCAGGACCCACACAGTGGAAACATCTGACTTCTATAAGTTGTCTTCTGATCTCCATGCCCATCCCCATAAATAAATGTAAGATAATAATAATAAAAATAAACAAAACCCAATATAGCATTTGGGGCATAGATATGCTAAATTTTAGGAACATGTTTTCATGGATAAATTATAGTACTAAAAATTTAAAAATAAAATAATTAGTAAGAACTATATAATCAAATCATATAAAACTTGGAGGAAAATTCTGATATAAGAACACAGCTTCTAGTTGCATTTTACTAAAGGTCAAAGTGGTTTTCTTCAATATTTAATTCCTCACTCCAGGCACTTCCTGGGGGAAGTAAAACATCTTCCAACTAGATGGAGACGATTTCCTAGATACCCATTATATATTTTAAAACTCAGCTATTTTATCTTAAAAAAAATAGAAACACTCACCTTCTCTTTTGCCCATTTTTTTGCTGCCATGAACGACAACACTAGTGTGACCAGTCCTCCAGATCCATGTAAGCCAAAGTACTGACAGCTTAAGACAGCAGAAATACACATACTCAGAACAAGGAAGGCTCGCTTCTGTGAAGGTTTCTCCTAGAAAATGCACATTTAGACGTCGTTTTACATTCAACATACAAGATGTGGCATTATCTATCCTTTTTCTTTCTACCCTTTGCTACAATATCTGTAAAGGCTATATTAAATAGTCTCCAAAAAGCTGATATGATTTTGCATCAAAACTTTTGGCAGATTCAGAACCAAGTAGTAATTCATCAAACATGAGAGTTTCAACCTTTATATAGCATTGACACCAACAGCAAAAAGCTTTCCAGACTCATCCGGCGTTGGTGGCACACACCTTTAGTCCCAGCATTTAGGAGACAGAGGCAGGTGGATCCTTGTGAGTTTGAGGACATCCTGGTCTACAAGAGCTAGTTCCAGGACAGCCTCCAAAGCCACAGAGAAACCCTGCCTTGAAAAACCCAAAACAAAAACAAACAAACAAAAAAATGCTTTCCAGACTCAACCTGAAAAGTGAGGGAAACAGTTCCTCTAACAAGGAGTTGTTAAAAAATATATCTTTTGAAGATTTCTTTATTTAAAAGACTTGGTAACTTGGATGCAATTACAAACTGAGCCAGGGCAATGACAACTGTTGAGTTCAAAACCAGCCTTAGCTGTATAGTGAGACTTTGTCTCAAAATTGCCACCACCGCCACCAAAAACAACCAGATCTAAAACTCTTGTCAAAGGGAGTGGCGGCAAATTTAAATCAGAAAATCTGGATAGATAAATTGGAACTTATCTCTGTTTCAAAGATGTTCAGGAGAAAGTTTTGTAAAAAAAAAAAAAAGAAAAAAGAAAAAAGAAAAAAAGACAAAGAAAATTGTCAAGCATCAATAGATGATTTAGTGGAAATGGGGGAGGAGTGGAAGGGAGAAGGGAGTCACATACATTGTTCTCAGTATTTTAATTTATCAGATAAGGACACAGTGACATTAACCAAGACTAGTTGGAATCAACCACTACTAGGCTCAGTTTTAAGCATATAGTAAGCATCAGAGGCAACTTTTGGGGAAAGATTCTTAAGTATGGAACTTTATGTTTCACAGTTCTTTCTAAAGTTGTCTCAGAAAGCTTTATGTTATACCCATGCTGTAGCTTGGATGTGGACTGTCCCCTAACGTCCCTGTATTAAAAGCTTGATTCCATGTGGTACTATGGGACATGGCAGGACCTCTGGAAATCAGGGATGCATGCTTCTAAGCAAGTTGTTAAATTCCAGTCCCTTCCTCCTTTTGCTTTGTTCTACGGTTCATGACATAGTTGGCTTCGCTCTGCCACTCCCTTCTGCAATGGTACACTGCCAAGGTGATGAGGCAGGTCGACAGCAGACTACACCCTTCAAAACTGTGGGCTATCTAAGCTTGCTTTCCTAAAGATTAAGAGTGTCCAGGTAGTTCATTACACTGACGGGAGGCTGAGTAACACACTACAGTTCCACAAACCAGATTCTTTTTTTTTATTTTTTTATTTTTTATTTACCTGATCTCCACTTGGAAAATACTGAATAAAAAATCCCAAAGTAATTCCTACCAGCACACCAATAAATACATTCCGCAAGGACGATAGGATATTGCTAATTACACTACCTGTAAGGGCACAAAATAAAAGAAACTTTTCACTGAGAAATATTTTCATATACATTATACATTAGAGAATAAGACCTATGTGGTTCATGAGTACATTTCATAGAGCAAATTACAAAATTGGACTTTCATAGTGACATGTGTGAAAACATATTCAAAGCTATCTGAAATTAAATGTCTATTCCTAATAATTTGATATAAACACACAACTAAAAATATCCATTGTATAAATGGGTCAGAAAACAAAGAAATCATTTGTTTTCCTTACACTCAACCTATGAGAACAAGTAAGGGAGAAAACTTGAGAGCAAGTGGCAGGAGCATTGGTATAGGCTGGGTTAGGCCACGCTGACAATTCTGATATGCTGTGTGCGAAATAAACAAGCCACTTAAAGGTAGAAAGGACAACTTATCAATAACAACCACATAAAACATTTGTATGCCATAGTTAACCCCAGCTATAGATGAGTCAAGTAGGTTTTCAATGTTTTAATATGAATATTTTCTACAAGTCATTGTGTATTTAAAAAGTAACCCCCCCCATTCCTCAGTTTAAAAAAAAAATGTTTGGTTTTACTCTGAGCGTTGAATTAGCTAAACATATGTAAGTGAGAAACATTTCCACTTCAAAGAATAGAGGGACACTGGTTAAGATGCTGGAATGGGAATACTGAGCCTGGCCCCCGACGGACACACCAACTGAACAATAACAAATAGCCTAAGAGCCTTCATGGAAGTCCATATGCCAATTAAGAAGATGGGGTAATCCATACAAGGGGAAAGCCAAGAACAATGTCATGGAAACAAGTAGAAACAGCTAGTGTGTATTATGCTGCTGGAAGACCATCCCCAAGCTGGCACAGGGGTGGGGCAGTATTCCACTACTGCTTCTCCATTGAAAGGCAAAGAGAAGATGGGAGCAGTTTTGGAGATCCTAGAGCATTGGCTTTTTTCTCACCTGCTTCTAACCTGATACCCAAGTGCTGTCAAGAGCAAAGGACAGGTCAGAGATATGCTTGAACCATAGAGCTTCTGACACTGCCAAGCATTTAAAGGAAAAACATCACTACGTTGCAATTTTTTAGAAAATATATGCTGAAGAGGAGGAAGAACTTCCAAACTCATTTTAGAAGGCCATTGCTACCTTGATGCCAAAGTCAACCATACGTAAGAAAACTATCCAGTGATGACAGTGCACCAGAAACTAGAGGCCTTGAACCAGACCAGTAACTTATTGCAATGAAAATTTGCTAGTAAAGTCAATAGGACCCAAGGGTAGACTATATGACACACTGAGGTCCCCAATGCCACCAGGACGAATGAAGAGGTGTTGGAGAGATGGGAAAGGAGAAGAAGCAGAGTCTTTTTTTTCTTTATGTTTTCTTCTGTTCTTATTTTTGTTTGTTTGCTTGCTTGATTACTTTATTTTGTTTTCTTTGGTGGGGAGGTGCCATTGCAGGGGTAAGCGGAATTGGGGTGCATGATATGAAACTCCCAAAGAATCAATAAAGAAGTTAAATTAAAGAAGAAACTACAGATCAATATTCCTGATAATTATGCAAGAATCCTCAATACAATATGAGGAAATTGAGTTCAACAGCATATTAGTTGGATTATACATCATGATCAAGTTGGATTTAATTCTGGAATGCAAAGGGGTACAAATGGATTTTTTAAAAAGATTTTCTTTACTGTATGAGCATCTTGCTTGCATGTATGTATATATACCATGTGCATGTATGATGCCTGTAAATGCCAGAAGAAGGCATCAGATTGTCTGGACCTGGAGTTAGAGATGGTTTGGAGCCACCATGTAAATTCTGGAAACCAAGCCCAGGTCCTCTGGGAGATAGCAAATGCTCTTAACCACTGAGCCATCTCTCCAGCCCTCCCCCAAATGTTTTTTATCTGGGGTCAAGATACAACACTCTGCCATGTGATACAGTACATTAAAGAAGAAAGGTAGAAATCACAAGACCACATTGTTTGATGAAGTCACTCAATTCAGAAGAGAAGCAATTTATCTCCTGATAGTGCTATAAGAAAAGCCCACCAGTAACTTCTTACAGACTGGCAAATGAAAAGTTTTCTTTTAAAGATCAGGAATAAGGTGATGATGCCATTTCCCCCATTTCCAGTCTCAAGGCACTGGAAGTTCTAGCCAGAGAAATAAGGCAAAAAGAGAAATAAAAGGTAGCCAAATGGAAAAGAAAAAAAAAATCTCTCTATGAGCAGACTGACGTTATATACAGAAAACCTTAAAGATCTGGAACTCAAGAGATGGTTTAGTGGGTACAGTGATTGCCCAGAAATCCAGATGATCTGAATTCAGATCCCAGTACACACAGTAGAAAGTCAGATATAGTTTGACCCCAAAAACCAGTGAGGGGAGACAGAAGATTTTTGAGAGCTTGATGCTCACTAGCTCAGTGCACAAAGCAGGGAACAATGACAGATGCTGTCTTCAAACATGGTTGAAGGACAAGATTGACACCAAAGTAATTCTCTGATTCCACATGTACACTCTGGCACGCTTTTTGCCTGCACGCCTCCCCCCACCACAGACACAATGACATACACACAACCTCCAAACACATAACCTGTCAGAACTAATAATTAAAACCAGCAAAGTTGTGTGCTGCAAAAATCAACACTAAGATATCAGTTGTTTCATATATTAACAATGAACAATTAGAAAATTATGAAACTCATTTTGAATAGCATAAAAAGAAACAAAAAGAATAAATGTAATTAAGGAGATGAAAGGCTTGCACTGATGATTGAAAACATTGCTGAGAGAAGTTAGACACATAAGTGGAAAATACATTTGTGCATGATTAAAAAATTCAATATAGTTATGATGTCTATATGTCAATACTAGCTGAAGAAACCCCTTTGTTCTATGTGATTCTTACCAAAAATTCCAATGAATAGCTTATTAGAAATGGAAAAGAGAACCCTAAAATTTATATAGACTGTTGAGGGACAGTGAAAAACCATATACTAGTGATCTTAATGCATGCACAAGTTGACATTTTGTTCTTTTTTATGAAACCCAGTTGGGGCTTAAGTATTTTAATACAGACTTAAGCACAAGGGTTAAGAGAAAGAGGGGTACGAAGAAAGTAAGCCACACCTAAGAGCATGGTTGCTGTCTTCTCAAAGAAGACTTGCAGAAAGTAAAACCCAAGTGTGGGTGCTTCAAAGGAGAGCTTTGGATACTCTGTTCTTGATTTGTATTTTTCTAATGATTACATATGTTGAACAATTTTCAGATGCTTGTCAGTCATTTGTGTATCTTCTTTCAAGCTTAATTCCTGCTCTTTTAGCATTAGCTCAGACATCTCACTGGTGTTAGGTTCCAGAATTTGAATTCTGGAGACTTACAAGCATTCAGACTGCTGCAAAGGGCTTCCTTCATTTTAGCCTGAGGCATTTCCTTGTTCTTGGGTTATAGTTTTTCCATATGATCTTTCCATTATCAACCTTCCTGTGATGACATTCTCCAATTCCAAGTGCCCTGTTTTCACTCTGGTTGGTGGTGCAATATGTTTTTTAAGTTTGATATCCATATTTCACCAATATTTGCTTTTACAGCCTGTGATTGTTGTGTTACATGAAAGAAACTATTGCCAATTCAGGGTCATAAAGCTTTTCCTTAATTTTATTCTTTTGAATATGGACATCTAGTTTTCCCATCACTGTTTGTAGAAGAAACTTTCCTTTATCCATTAAGAATTCAGGAGTGGTGGCTCACACTTTTATCCTAGCACTGGGGAGTCTGAGACAGGAGAATTGTAACAAGCACAAAGCTAGCCTGGGCCATACAGTGACCTTGTCTCAAAACAAAAAGGAAAGAAAACATTAAATACAGGCACAAATGTTTCTACCCAAGATATTCAACCAAGTATTATTTCAATAGTAAATATTGTAGCCAATTACAATTGTGTACAGGTCAGTAATTCTGAAGAAGTCCACTAATACTTACACAACCATTCAAAGTGAACACAGAAATTGCCTGGATAGTTGTATGTGACTAGCACTGGTTGTTTGGTCAGCTAGACATAAAGAATCATGAATTCCAAGGCAGCCAAAGTAACAACACCAGTCCTGTCTTGAAATTATTTTCTACGTGAAAAGCGTGTCTGTGATAATAAAAGTTAACAGCAAAATAATTTAGATTATGTGTAGAGATGAAAGGTAAAAATTGGGGCTATCAACAGAGATGGAGAGATGGCTCAGCAATTAAGAGTACTTGTTGCTCTTGCAGAGGATTTGGGTTCAGTTGCCAACAACCACATGGAGGCTCACAACCATTTGTTAACTCTTCTTCAGATGATCCAACGCCCTATGCTGGTTTGTGTGGTCACTGAACACACATGGTGCACAAACACACATGTAGACAAAACATACATATACATAAAAATAAATCAGATTTTAAAAACTAGGGCTGTTGAGGTGGCTCAGTAGGTAAAAGCACTTGCCATACAACTGGACCATCTGAGGTGGATTCCTGGGACTCATGGTAGAAAGGCGAGAACTAGGATTGGAGAGATGGTTTAATGGCTAGGGCACATTGATCTTCCAGAGGTGGACAGTTGTCCTTAGCATTCACAATGGGCAGCTCACAACTGCCTGTGACTTCAGCTCCAGATCCGGTGTCTTCTTCTGGACTCTGAGGGTACCCGCACACATATGGCATACATAAACAATTGTCATGCCATTAAACAATTAGAGACTAACTATTAATGGCACCTCATTCCTAATGGCCTGTATTAAAGGCAATTAGCCTCATTCAATTGACTACTCTAATGTAGGGAGCTGCCCTCCCGAACTATTGCTCCACACAAATGGCCCAGAAGACAAGGCCAGATAACTTCTCTTAACTGGTATATGAAAAGAAACATTCCCTCTCAAGGGTACAACACTTTCTTACTGAAAATTAGGTTGCTCTCCTTCTGGTCTGGTAAATACTTTTATTCGTATGCCTCGGGCTCATGATACTCCTGCTGACAGTATGGTCAGTGTTCAGTGATTTTTATAAGAATAATGAGAGAGGACTAGGGAGATGGCCCTCTTAGTAAGATGCTAGACTGCAAGTCCGAAAAACTAATTTGGATCCATGTAAAGTGCTGGGCATCTGTAATCACAGTAATAAGAAGGTGGACACAGGAGGATCTCTAGAGCTCACTGGTAGTCAGTCAGCCTAGCCAAACTGTTGACTTCCAGAAACAGTGAGAGATCCCATCGATGGCTTGCCAGCCTAGACAAACTGTTGAGTTCCAGGCACACTGAGAGATCCTGTCAAAGGCCAGTCCACCTAGCCAAACTATTGTGCTCTAGGCACATGGAAAAATCGGTTTCAACAAATAAGCTGGGGAACAATTGAAGAAAACATCCAATGTCAACCTCTGGCCTCCACATACAAGCATACATACACACATGTACACATGTACATACTTAGACACAGAAAAACACAGAATAATTGGAGACAGACAGAGAAAGGGGGAAGAGATTTATATAATAAGGTTGAGAAAATATTCTTACCTAATGGGGATGGTACTTACAGATTCTTTTTATCTTTTATATTTTCAAATATACTTTCTGATTTTTAAGAAAGAGACAGAGTCTAGCCAACCTTGAACTCCTGGGTTCATGTGGTCCATTATTAAATCTCCTAAAATGCTGATGTAGGCACACTACCACATCCAGCTCTTATCCATACCACCTTTAAAACTACCCTAATGTTTCTAGGATGTAGACAACTGAATTTTAAATATTGCCGATAATCAGAGTATGTGGAAATCAGACTGTGGAAATGCTAACATTTGAAAACTTTTTTTTTTTTAAATGAAGAACTCCAAGTAGCACTTTTGAGACCTGATTTTCTTGCTATGTGTTTGGGACCCAATTCTCCTGTGGCTGTGTCATCTTTGTCCATTTTCCAAAAACCACATAAAGATGTCATTAGGAAGCAGCCACTGTGCTCTCTTACCTTCACAGTGAGCATGTCCAACGTTGGCATGATGCCTTCTGGCATTGTCATGTTGGCCACAGTGGACTTTCTTAGCCATCCACTGCAGGGTATTTCATTCACAGGGCAGCAGCTATGTGGCTGGAAGCCCAGTGCTTTCTCCACCTGACCCCATCTGTTTTGCCGGCTCCCCAAGCTCCAGGAAGGTTGAGTAGTCACTCTTCTTCCAGGTCTTGTCCAGAGTTAAGTGATGTTCCAATGTCATGACCACAAGAGCCACCATGGCCACAGACATTGCTACAGCTTTGCAAGTGCTCGACTGCCCTCTGGGAATGTGAAGAAGGAGCGTCTGGTATTCTGAGACAATGGTAACTGTAGGAAGCAGAAGCTGGGGCTGGGGGGCTTCAGGCTGTGATAGACTGGCTTCATGGTATCTATCAATTGCATTTTCGGACAACCATCATGAGCTTCCTTCACTGTCTTTTCCAAAAAAGAAACTGTTAGTGTCTGCTGATCCAACTCTGGAAAACAGAGAATTCAGTTCATACAGAAACTCATCAGCCATTTTATCCGTCCAGAGGCAGTGGGAAAGACACCAACCTCCTTTGCATATTGCTTCAGCTCCTTGTACTGATAAGGCTGAATGCTAGGCGCCACTTGGGTATCCATCTGTCTCCTCAGGAATGCTTTGATCCTACTCCAGGGCCTCCGATCAACTGTGAATTCTAGTATACTGGCACAATTGGCCACACTCTCCTTGGCTGTGTGGTCTAACACGGTTTCCATGTCTCCCTGGTGATTCTGGCTCTTCTCAGCAGTGGCGAAGCATGAGCACTGCCAGCACTAAGGGTAGCAGGGCTCTAGTGATAGGTGGCTGTCCCCACTTGACTGCAGTCTGGGCTCTGTAAGGCCAGCTCCCACTTTCACAGCTTCTGTACTGCTGGTCAAGACCAAATGTCACCTTGAAAATCTGAACTGGTGTAATGAGATTTTGTCTTAACACTACCAAAAGGGCACATTGTTGGCCCAGCTTGATATGTGTGAATTGTCTTAATACCAAGCAAGCTGTTAATAGGATGGTAAGAAAAGTACACTTCAAAAACACTTAAGTCAATGTATTATTAACACTATACACTGACAACATTTCCGAAGCACCAAAATCAGACAAATGGCAAGGATGTAGGCAACTAAAGTAACTGAAAAAGTTCATTACTAAAATGAGATCATTTTGTTAAGTACTATCTAGGGACTTTTGGAAAATTCATTTCATTTTTAAATTTTTAAATTTTACAATTTAATTTTAAATCCATTGTAGCATCTTACCTGGTCAAGATGAGCTCTCTATGAAGAATAAAGAGATAGTAAAGTCTTGGTTAATAAATATAGAGGGAATGCCAGAAATCCAGCTTAAAGAACTACAGCAAAAGGACGTAAGTGAAACATTTCTTATTTACCCGAGGAAAAGACTATGCTCAAGAATGTGTTGAATCCAGTGATGGCCACAACGTCATCCATACTGCTGGCAGCCACGAGCAAGGTTGGAATGCCTTTCTCAATACCATATCCATTTTCTTGCAACAGCAGCATGGAGGGAACCACAACAGCAGGAGACACAGCGCCTATAACAAAACTGAAAGGCAAACTTTGAAAACCCATCCGTCCTTTTAAGCAACTAGTGTTTTGCTGTCAGTTTTCACATGGCATCATTCTGCTTTTGAGTGAAAGCCACCTAAAGGTGCTAACGCACTCAACTCTGCATGTAATTTAGTGCTGAATAAAAGTTCACAGAGATGGGTCTTAAGAAATTGGACTGAAGGGCTGGAGAGATGGCTTAGAGGTTAAGAGTACCGGCTGCTCTTCCAGAGGTCCTGAGTTCAATTCCCAGCAACCACATGGTGGCTCACAACCATCTGTAATGGGATCTGGTGCCCTCTTCTGGTGTGGAGATAGACATGGAAGCAGAATGTTGTATACATAATAAATAAAATCTTTTTTTTTTTTTTTTTAAAAAAGAGGAACTGGACTGAAGAGAAAAAAGAAAAAAAAAAAAAGAAAAAAGAAACTGGACTGAGCACAAAGGCAGGTCTCCCCTCTATCTGTACATCATTTAGAATGAAGACATCAGTAAAAAAAGAAAATTCATAATGCAAGGAGTGGACAAGAGGAGAATCCTCAATAGACAGGAAACCAAGAGTCTTCTGGTCAGAGGATCTCAGAAGGAAGACACAAGCCCAGTGTGTCTAACACTGCTGCATTAGGCATGCTACACTTTTAAAGGCACACTAACCACACATAGTGGATACTCTAAACTCTTCCATAGCTGTGGCACCATTTCACAATCCCACAGCAGAACACAACAGACCCAGATTCTCCACAGCCTTGTCAATATCATACACACATATCTTGGTTAGTCCAATGTATGGGCAATGAAATCTTTTTACTTCTGTTTTCTAATACAGAGGACAAGAATTTCAGATGTTTGTTGACCATTTGTATATTTTCTGTGGATAAATGTCTTCTTCTTCTTTTTTTTTTTTTTGTTTTTCGAGACAGGGTTTCTCTGTGTATCTTTGGAGCCTATCCTGGCCTCGAACTCACAGAGATCCTCCTGCCTCTGCCTCCCGAGTGCTGGGATTAAAGGCATGCGCCACCAATACCTGGCAGATAAATACTTTTTTTTTTTTTTTTAAGATTTTTATTTTATTTCACACACACACACACACACACACACACACACACACACCTACCTTTAAAACAAACAAAATGCACTTTAAATGCACTTTATATATTTTTTTCTTTAAAATAGCAACAAGTAGCTGGAAGTTAAGATAAAAAACTTTACAGGAGTATTAAAATATAGAAATACTTAGGAATCAACCTTAAAAGCATGTATAATATCTACAGTAAATATCTAAAAACTACAAAACATTGGTTGAAAAAATAAGTAAGACTCAGCTGGGCGGTACAGTAATCCAGAAAATGTAGTAAGACCAGACATCCAGATATCCAGACCACAGCAATGGAAGACACATTCAGCAATAAACCCCGCACACATGCACAGGTTATTTTTTGGCAAAGCTGTCACAGTGACATAATGTGGATACCATATGCAGTAACTGGTACAGAAACAGCTATATAGCATTAGAGAAAAGCAAAGCAAAAGCATTGTGGCTCCTACCTTGTGGCACATGGTGAAAATGGACCTGCGGTAACAAATGCGCCTGATTAAGCCTAAAATCTTGTACTATGAAACTTCTATGAGAGATTAAAAAATTCAACAGGTGTTTTGTTGGATGTTATACAAATAAAACAAATTATAAAAGAAACAGAGAAGTCAATTTTAAATCTCCTCTGAGACACCATTAAAAATTAATGGGGAGATTGGAAAAACACAGGTCAAGATACAAAATATAGCCAGACAGGAGGAATAGGCTCAAGAGATTTGCTGTGGTGCACAGAGACAGTGGATGATGTATGATGCTTCTGAGTAGTCCTAACAAAGTGGATGGTACACCTTTCCCCCGCCAAAACAATAACTGCTAGGAAATACACATGGCAATTAGACTTAAGCATTCCAAACACAAATATCTCTAAGTATCATGCTGTACGTCACTACAGATCACTTTACCTGCCTTTTTAAAACAAACAAATGGCTTGTTTTGTAAACTTTTAAAAAAGAAATCTGAATATTTTTCTACTTAAAAAATGTACAGTTTATGTTTTAAGTCTTTACTTCACTTGACATATCCTCAAATCACGGCACGTTGTATAACTTGAAGAGCTTCATTTAACCAGCTGACAACTGTGCAGCTGTAAGACTGGGATAATGTGAGAGTGAGCCCATCATGAGAATTCTATGAACATGTAAAAGTTCACGGAAGACTCTGTGGCAGACAGCAAATATGACAGAAATTCACGTACTACTGTGGTAACTAACAGTTTCAGCAGCATTTCTGGTGTTGGAGAACTGGGCGTGCGTGCACATCTGACTCAGGAGATAGGCCCCTCTTCTTTTCGTATGGCAGTGTCACTTGGAGAAGCTGTTAGGTGGCTCCTGAGCTTAAAGGAATTAGACTTGAATTATGTATTTGGCAAGTAATAGCTTACAGATAGAATTTGAAATCACTAGACACTACAGAAGAATAAGAATAAAAAATGAGATCTAATACTGGAAAGAAGAACTCTTAGGGCAAATAGGAAGAAAGGATTGCCAAATTAGAAGCTATTATGGACTGAACTCTGTCCCCATCCTCACAAATTTGCAAGTGAAACTAACCATCAGTGAAGCTGGATTCAGAGACCAAGCCTTTGAAAAACTATATAAAGTTAAATGTGGTCATAAGGTTGGAACCAAATCAAAGAGGGCCAATGTCTCAAAAGAATAAAAAGACCCCAAGGATGCCTATGAAGAGAGGATAGGTCATGCAAAGATACAGGAAGGAGGTGCCAATCTGCAAGCCAGGCAGAGAGGTCTCAAGAGAAATCAAACCTGCCAATGTCTTCATCTTGGCCTTCCAACCTTCATAACTTTAAGAAATGAATTTCTGATATTTTAGTCACTAACCATTTAACTAGTTAATAAAGGAATTAAAAGGCAAGCCACATATTAGAAAGAAAAGTTCATAATGTATATAGTAGATGAATGAATTTAGTCTAGAATATAAAAACATAGAGAGCTGGAGAGCTGGCTCGGTGGTTAAGAGCACTGGCTGCTCTTCCAGAGGATCTGGGTTTGATTTCCAGAAGCAATATGGCAGTTCACAATCATCTGTAATTCCAGTTCCAGGAGGTCTAACCACCTCCTCCAGACTCTGTAGGTATGGCATACATGTAGTGCCCAGATACGTGCAGGCAGAAGATCCATTCATACAGAAAAGATTATACATAATTTAAAATTCAGTAAGAAATCAAGGAACTCAAATTTTAAAACTGGTAAAAGACTTGAACCGGCATTTTTACCAAAGAAGGTGTAGGACTAGTTTCAGTGTGTAAAACAATGTTGAGTGCCAGTGGCTATCGAGACGGAGTACCACTTACAGTCTCCAGAAGATGTCAGAGACGGAGTACCACTTACAGTCTCCAGAAGGTGCTGCACACAGGATAGGAAACAGCATCAGTGCAGAGGACGTGATGGCTGTGATCTTCAAGACTGAAGGTCTAATCGGAAGGCGTGTCACATGCATGTGCTTTAATTTTATAAATAATAAAACAAGACTGGGGTGTAGCTTGGTGATCAGATGCTTGCCTCATAAACTTGCGACAGTGGGTTTGATTCCCAGCAGATGTATGTGTGCTTGTATGTATGTATTGGGGTTTTTCCACAATAAAAGTTTGAAAATCACCCTATTTGGCAGTGAGGATGCAATGAGTAACCTTTTTTCCTTTTAGATTTGACTGGACTGCATAAGTGGAGCAAGAGTTAATGAAAAGAAGTCAGGAGCTACAGACAGTGACCCCAGACTTGAAAAATTTTTGACATGAGGAAATGGATAACAGAAAAGATAGGTTGGCCCTACACCAAGAGAAAAAGTTTTGTGTTTTTATTGCTTTAGAAAGAAGTATTTTTATTATGTGTCCATTAATAAAATCTCTCATATGCAATATATATGTTATGTATATATTACAATGCTGTATGAAAAAGCAGCCATTTGACATGCTAAAAAACACAGAAACACAACAGAAGAGAGGGGATAAGCCGAGAGACTGGACTACTTGGCACCGAACACTGAGGATCACTACTGTTTGTGAAACTGACCAACAGAGTCTTTCTCAGAGGTTGGATCTTGCTGCATACCTCTGCCTGGCCTTGAGCTAAGTGCGCTGTTGCCCCAGCATCCCTCGCGTGGGATTCCAGGAGTGTGCCAGCATGCCCAGCTGCACTGCGTGGAAATGGAGCATGACTCTACCTTCCATCAATTGATTTTCAGGGACCATTGCCCACCCATGGTAAAACAATTTTAACGGAGACCTTGGCTATGCAATATTTGGAGTATCTAGGGCTTTAACCCAATACACTTAGCTGTGTAATTTCATGCTGTGAGGGAAGGGAGAAAAACATTACCCTAATAGGAACCCCCACTGCCAAGGAAACTTCATGAGGAAGTGGGAGAAAAAGGCAGCCGAACAGGCCTCGATGATGCACGGACCGAATGACAGCCTCAGACAAACGGCCTTCAGGTGCTTCAGAGCCTGAAACAGAAAAGGTTCAGGGTTACAAGGGCCAGCAAGAAAACCGTTTAAGCACACCCTGTGACACAGTATTTCCCTGAAGGACAGCGACTTTACACTTGATAAGGTGCTCTGATAGGGACTTCAAAGGGTTACTTCGCCATGATTAGGTCTGTCTTCTTTCATTTTCCCACTGCACACTACAGTGATAATATCTCACTGGATTTCCCCCACCAGTTAATTAGTGGCGAATGATTCAATTTAATAATAATAATAATAAAATAATAAAAATAAATATTAACACATCACAGTAAAAAATTAATCTATTTCAAAAGGAAATACTTTTCTATTTTCTTAATGGCTCATGATGTCATGAGTAATAATTATTTATTATTATAATTAGTTATTACTTGTGGTATAATTTCATTAACTCTATATATGCTTCCCACACTTGATTCTGTAGCTATCATATCCAATGACTAGTCACCTTTTAATCATTCAAACAAATTTCTGATCTCCAGATTAACTATTTTAAGAAATCTTTCTTTTTTTCAAATTAACCAGATTTTAATTTGATTTTGTGGAAAATGCAGACACACAGTCAGATAGGGCACTTTTCTCTTGCATTTGTTGCCAATGAGTTCCATACAGTGCAAACATTAATTAGACAGAACCTGCAAATATGAAACGCTTTGCAATTCACTAAACTTTTCTACATGGTTACTGAAGATAAATCCTTCCCAACAATCATTTAACTCACAAAATGCATAACAAATAAAACTGAAAGTAGAATCTATAGTTATTTAAACAAAATCACTGTGAGTCTGTTGTCTTCTGTTCTGAAACCAACTATAAAATGTAGTCCCATTTCATCAATTTAACAATGTCTTAAATAGAGACATACTCTAGCACTGTTCCAATGAGTTAATACATTAATAATTATGGGACTACATTACAGGTTGAGAATGAATGAATGGTGTTCCTGAAAACAAATCAAATAATTACTATCCAATAATATGTTATGTTATGATCATACCCATAACCCAGTATCTGCCAACTTTCAATTTTATTGTTTACACTCAAGAATCACTGTATAATCATTAAACATGATAAAAACACAACCATTACTCCCAAAATAATACCAAAATACTATCCTTCAAGGTCATAGTTATGATAGCTTCACCGTCAACACTCAAAACAGTATAACCATGGGTATTTTTGAACAGCCTTGACAGAAAGCTGTATTTTGGTACATTAAGGCAGCTTCAGCCAACATTCTGAATAAAATATTTATTGAAACAAAAGACAGGCTTGATATTTAAATATTTGAGGTTTCCAAGAAATTTTAAGTGTCTTACAATAAGAACACTATAATTTGTGAAACTATCTTAAACATTCTCAGCACTACACTCTTATTACATACAGCATCTAAAAACAAGGTACTCATCCTACCAGTATCAAAGATGTCTAGTAAAACAGCAAAGATTGACGTTGAATATAAGGACTATAAACCTCTACTTCTGGGCTTTCAAACGACTTCTCACACACATCTGTGAGGTAGGTTATTATCCACATTTTGTACAAGAGAAAACTACACAAGGTTACATAACTTGTGCTGCTATAGTAGCAAATGGGGAATTGGATTTCAATTAGATTAGATCTTTAGCTCTGCGTTTCTTTCCTTTACAAACTTTAAAACATAAAGATTTCTAGTAATTGCATTCATAATGTAAAGTTAATCAGGAACATATTTCTAGTTAGTCATAAAACAAATTATTGAAATTTTAATTTCAATTTCTCTTTAATTTTAATTTCTCTTTTAAGACAGAGAGACAAGGAAGCTTTTATAGGATTACCTCATTCTTTCTTAGCTGGAAGGAAATAGTACCCATAGAAAAGCCTCCCAACTAATAGTGATACTGCCTAAGGTACATCTATTTCTATGCGTGTTATTGAATATGATCTCTAAGAGAGATCTTACAGGGATTTCATAGAAATAATGATGGCTGGAAATAGAAATTATGAAACCAGTATTTTGGTCAAGTCTTTGTTATCTTAGGTTTACATGCAGACCCTGCTTAGAACAACTATAACAAAAATCCTCTTTCTTTTTATCTCTGTTATTTTCCAATATGTAAAAGAATTTTACTTAAAACTGAATAGGAAACTTACTTGTGGGTCCAGTCCAAGCCCAGCTCGTATTAGGATAATAGTAAGGGCAGTGTTTCTTAAAACTGAAGACCATGTGGTAGGAATATGGACAAATTCATAAATAAACGGAACATTCCTGATGGTGAAACCAGCCAGTAACATCCCTAAGAGGGGAGGGAAGAAAAAGAAAGTAGAAAACAAAGCATATCTGACTAAGTTAATGTTTCTAAGAGAGATACACAGGGGTAGGTCGCATACAAGTAGAGGAAGTGGAGTGGGTACAGGACCATGAGACACAGACACACCAGTGTGGCAAGTAAACAAGTCAGTGATGCTGGGATGCCGACAGCAGGATGAGAGTGCAGACAGCAGGCAGAAGCCAGGTCATGGAAGGAGGCTCCTCTTTGGCAGGATCAGGGGCTATGGGATGGTTTCACAGAGGAATTGATGTAAGAATCTTGCAGCTTTTATGTGTTGGTCTTGGTGAATTAGACAGTGATAAAACTGGCCACAGAGACCAGTAAGGAGGATATTCCATGGCTCATGGAGAAGTTGGAAACAGCTCAAGACAGAGGTTATAGAGGAGGGGCTAAAGATTCAGTAAATATCCAGAGAGCTTTGGATACAAGGGCATCGTGCACATGTTAAAAGATCTGAGATAAATAATCTCTTCAGATGGTACTTTGACTATTTAGATGTATTGGTTACTTAGAAGACATAAGACCTCAGGGGAAAAAAAATCTCCCACTGACTTTCCTGTCTACCTGGAGAGTCACAGAACAAAAGGATAAAGGAACAATACGTTATATAGGAGTGGCAGATGGGTATACACAATACAGATGGCTGCCCACACAGCATACTCAGTTATCACAGGATACTAGCACCCCATTTGTCAGAATCGTCATATGTGCAAAGTATTAGTTACATGGCATGTACAAAACTTCAGCCTTTTCTAAGTTTCCTGTCTTTTAGAATGCATTTTAAACTAAGTTTAAAACTCACTAAATAATAAAGCAACACAAATTATATAGAGGATTGTCAAAAATAGACTATAAAAAAATCTACATATAATTAGATGCCAGATACACATTATAAGATATCTAGTCCAAATAGAAAATGTTCAAAATTTACAAATATTCAACAAAGAATATAGCTGATTATATACTTACCAAGAAGAGGTGGAAGGGGAGGCACTACAGGTATTCTAATGACTTCTAAAATTTTCCCTCCAAGAAAGGAACTGTAAAAAATAACTATAAGTCCAAACAAATTTCCACCAGGGAGAACTTCTTCGCCCATAAGGGACCAGAGTAGAGTCCATAATATAATGAATGTAATTCCTGAAATATAAAAATAATTTAATTCTGTATAGATAAATACATGTGACAAACATGAATCTATCAAATATAATCATATGCAGACTTATATAGTTATACATAGTGTAGATTAATATTGCATACTTTTATAGCTTAAGTTAGTTATTAAGATATATTTCAGAGAGCCTGTCAGTTTATATGATGTCTTAAATTATTTTTTAAAGCATTTTAAGGAGGCCAGGTGAAAGTGTTTGCCATAAAACCCAATGATCTAAGGTCATTCCCTGGATTCCATATAAATATTGGAGGAGACAACTAGAACATACCCTGAGCTCAACACATGTATGATGGCACACCTGTCTTCTCATTACACATGCATGTATACACACGCACGCACACACACACACACACACACACACACACACACACACACTAAAATAAAAAGTTTCAGACTCTATGTGAATTGATTTTCTTCGTAGTGCTGGGTATTCAACCTAGGGTCTCACACATGCTAGGTGAGTACTCTACCACTGATATCCCTGAATTCTGTAAAGCATAAAGGTTTCTTCTAATATCTTAGTATTTTTTTCTTTCTTTCTTGTTTTAAGGTAGGGTCTGGCTCTGTCACCCAGGCTGGCTTCCACGTGTCTTCTTGCCTCTGCCCCTAATAGAGGCACTATAGTCCACAGCATAACATCACATTATGAAGAAATGTCATGACAATATGATGAGATTTTCTTGAGTATTAAAACAGTTTTTCCAGGAGGAATACAAGGAATACAATACTGGCTATAATACAAATTCTCAATTTAATTCTTGATCACAATGGCAGAAATAAAATTTTAAACTTGAGTACTAAAAAAAAAGACTTGGGAAACATTTTTATAAGTATTAGAAGGGGCAAAGCCTGAGGGAAAATGAACCTGGACACTGTGGAAATAGTTACAAGGTACCTTATGCAGGAAGTATTGGTGGACAGCGTGGCTCGGCAGGTAAGAGCATTTGACACACAACTCTGACTACCTAAGCTTGGTTGTCAGCATCCATGGAACAGTTTCATCCTGTGGCTCACATCTAATCCCAACATTAGCACTTGCATTGTGTGGTGGTTTGAATAGGTGTGGCCCCTGTCAGCTGATATGTTTGGCCCATAGGGAGTGACACTATTAGGAAGTTTGGGCTTGGTGTAGGAAGTGCATCACTTTGAGGGTAGTCTTTGAGGTCTCATATGCTCAAGCTATGTCTAGGATAACACACAGTCTCCTTCTGCTTTCAGTTCAAGATGTTAGTCTTTGACCAACCAAGTCAAATATGTGAAAATACCTGTTAATGTTCAATATTATTTTATTATGTCTGCTCTATGATGCAAAGGTTAAACACTCAGTACATAAAATACCATTTTTTCAAGCAGCCAATTTTTATAATTCAGAAGTAGGTTATTTATTAAGACAGTCAAAAGAAAAATTAGTTTAAATTTAGGGGTGGATCATGTTTATTTACCACCTAAAATCTTGAGTGCCAAAAAATTTAAAATCCAATAATAACCTTGATTCTGCAAATACTTTTATATTAAGGAAATTTAATGTATGGTTTTTGAGAAGTACTTTGTCAGGGATATCTATAGACATTGCCTACACACCATCTTTGGGCATTACATCTGATATTTTTAATCATAATTATGAAGGTAGCTAGGTTTCCTAAGTAATATTTTATATTGTCAAAAGAAGTTACCAGCTCACTTACATGTAAATTCCCGGTTTTGGGAGCTTTGGTGTACTGATTTTGGCTTATCCTCAATATAAAATTTCTATGACATTTAACACCATAACCACAAACTGATGACACTTTCAGGGCAAAGCAGAACTGGACAGTACTTTAGTGTCCCCATCACTGAACTCTGACTGCTCTGTCTTGCCACCTGGCTCAACTCTGACAGTCTTTAGTTTATAAGTCCATAGACATCTACCTATATAGGTTTAAAAACTGATCTGCACAAAAATACTAATAATAAATTATATAAAACAAATTGGTTTTTATGTTTTTTGGTTGTGAGCCTAGCCTTTAACGGCTGAGCCATCTCTTCAGCCCTAACCTGATTTTCAAAGATACAAACTAACATCTGTCACATCTATCATGCCAAAAATTTGACATATATACACAGGCAGAAAAAGTTCCCACTTGGTCATCTGTGCTGTAATATTAGCAAACTGCCACTAAGTGTTCACAGTGACAGAAGAGATGTATTCAAAATATTTCCTATAGTAAATACTCCATTATTCTCTGCACATATAAAAGCTGGTTATAATAGTTTTTGCTTTACTTGATTAAAAGTATGTCTTAAGCAAGCTAACATCAATGCACTAAAATTCAGGAAACTATGACATTACATAAAAAAAATCCAAAACATGCAACCATAAAAAGCAAGACACAAATACTACCATGCAAGATTGAAGCTAAAAGCTGTACAGAAATCCAATTTAAAACAGCAAGCTCAGTTGTATGTAACACTCAAAGGTCAGCAATGAGTTCTCCCAAATCAGTAGGCTTAGAGAACAAAGAGAACAAGTCACCTCCAGCTCTTTACAGCTTTTTTTTTTTTTTTTCCTGTTTGGCAGATTTTTGTTGTTTTCCAAGACAAAGTTCTCTGTGTAGCCCTGGCTGTCCTAGAATTCACTCTGTAGATCAGGATGGCCTCAAACTCACAGAGATCTGTCTGCCTCTGTCTCCCCAATGCTGGAATTAAAGGCTTGCGCTACCGCCTGGCTTTACTGTTATTTTAATGAGATATTTTCTCTCCGTTAAATAATTACCATATGCCACACTCCAAATCTGCTTCATTGTTACTTCTTCCAAGTAAGCATCAGCCAATAATTTCTTTGCTATTTCTGTTAACTCTTTGTCTGCATGTTTGAATTAGTGGTTTGTCATCAGAACCATTTTTAGATCCAGACTATTTCTAACAGCCTCCCCTCTTCTGGAGGACTTGCTGCCGTCTTAGCATTAGCACTTTTTACGTTTTTTGTTTGTTTGTTTATTTGTTTTTTCTTTTAGCAGTAGCTTTCTGTTTGGCTTTTTCTGTTTTAGATGTCTTTTTTTTATGGTGGCTGCTCCTCTTTATTTATCTCAACCTTCTAAAGATTGCTCATTTTCATCTTCATCACTACTGGATTTCTCTGACAGAATTTCAGGATATCTGCTTGGTTTGACTCTATTGTCATTACAGACTTGTTCCATTCCTTTTTTACTACCTTTGCTGGAAGGTATTTTAGATCTTGGCAATGGTTTTCGGTAAGAAATTCAACAGTCTCTTCACTAGTTCACTGCTCACCTTCATCGAGTCGAGAACCTCGGAGATGTACTCTAGCACAGCATCCTCAAACTTTTCTACATTTCTTCCTTCTCTTTTTTTTTTCCAACTTTTTTTATTTGAATTAGAAACAGGATTGTTTTACATGACAATCACAGTTCCCTTCTCCCACCTGTCCTCCCCCCCCCCAATAAAACCCTATCTGTCACATATCTTTTCTGCTCCCCCCTGGATGGTGAGGCCTTTCATAGGGTGTCATCAGAGTCTTTGTATCCTTTGGGATAGGGCCTAGGCCCTCCCCCGTGTGTCTTGGCTCAGGGAGTATTCCTCTATATGGAATGGACTCCCAAAGTCCACACCTATGCTAGGGATAAGTACTGAACTACTACTGCAGGTAGATTTCTGAGGTTTCCTCACAGAAACCCATGTTCCTGGGTCTGGATCAGCCCCATGCTGGTATTCCAGCTAACAGTCTGGGGAGCAAAGTTCCCCCATGTTCAGGTCAGCTGTTTCTGTGGGTTTCACCAGCCTGGTCTGGACCTCTGTGCTCATCACTGGTCCTTCTCTGCATCTGGGTTCCAGTTCAGATCGGTGATTAGTTATGGGTGTCTGCTTCTACTTCCACCAGATGCTGGATGAGGGCTATCAGGTGGCACATATAAGTCAGTCATCAATCTCATAATCAGGGGAGGGCATT